TTATGGGTTATGCTTTTCTTGAAGATAAGGGGTCTGTCCGCAAGTATTAACCCATCTTTTTGTCTTTCATACTGTTTTCATATGAGTGAAGGGGGTTATAATAATGCTATATTTATCCTTCATTGATATTGCTAAGTTTAGTTGATTGTGATTTCATGTGTTATATAATTATATTTACATACTACAGTACACTATGACGGGAGATGACAAAAACCGAGTAATGATTAGAAAACAAAACTCTGGAGCTCATAATAGAAGAGTCAAGCAACGTTAAGATGAAATGTAATCTCTTCTTATATGAATATTGATTTTGCATGGGAATATTATCAGTTTGAGCCTAATATAGAATGCTAAATAGTATTATATGTATTCGTTTTTATCGTTATTGTTCGTACCAAATTTTTAATATAAGGAGCAACCAAAATTGGATTGGGCTAGGGCAACCCAAAGTTCGGGGCCGGCCCTGGGTATGCTTCTAAGGATTCCGGGCTAGTCCTCCAACTATGTGTTCGAGTATGACACTGCTGATTCTACCGATGGCTTTAGAGAAAAGAGCTGAACTTGGCCTGATTAAAAGAGCAGAGATCATGTGAAGGGGACACTTCGATTGGTAGAATAAGGGAATCGGTTAACAGCAAAAAAGTTTACCTATCCCGTCATTGAACTATATTGAATGATATAAAGAAGAAAGTATTTGCTAGTACAAAAGTCGTGTTTTAATTTTGTGTATCAGTAAACCATTGCAATTAGGGTAGGGGGATTTACACGGCATCTTATATTCCGAAGAAACTTATTTTCAGCTTTTCAATTGTAGCTTATACATAGGAAACATTTTCCCTTAGTTCTCTAAAGAGCACTTTTATTCCTTGGTTGAGGGAACTGCATACAGATTTAGTCGGATCTCTGTGCAAATGTTTTAAATGGATTGATTTCAGTTCTCAAGAAGAGTGACAAGGATTTATAGAGGCGAGCTAGTGCGTTGGTGTCGAACCACTCGGTAATTAAAATCTTGGGCATAATTCTGATTTTAAAGTTTTTTATTTCGAAAATTAGGATGGTAACATCTCACGATGCCTGTGGATGTAAGACATATAAATACCAGTTTTGAAATTAAATTAGTTATATAGGTTAATTCTTCTAATGTGTTCTTATGGACCACCAGGATACTTTCTTGCAGCAGGAAATTCAACTCGAAGTCCAACATATGGATCTCCAGTACTTAGTTTTTATGTCGGTTTACCTTATTTTTACCTTTCACTTGATTGAGTTTTTTTTAAAGAATCCATTGCTCTTTCTGAAGTTAATCTGAGATCTGAAGGTTTTAAAAATTTAGGTTTCGTGGAAATCTTTTTTTATTTTTTATTTAGTTAGTTTTGTCATAGTAGCAAACTAGCAATTTAGGTTCAGTGGAAATCTTGGTTTATCTTTTCTTTTGCCATAAGTCTGAGTCTAACTAAAACTTTACTTTTTCGATGCTGGTTTTACATTTTTTAGAATAGACTGGAAAGCTATATGGGGAAATTTATGGAGCAACCTACGCATTCTTCGGTGAAGCATGCCCTTGGAGTGCTATATATATTACATCTCCAGCACAGGGTTTGTTTGTTTTCTCACTCACTGGCATGATAACTTAAGTCCATAAAATTGACTTGTACATAACAGGACCACGTGTGTTCATTGAAAATCATGGCATGTTAGTGCTAGAGTAGTGTTATATGCCCTTAAACATCTAATACATTTTTATTTAATTTTAATTGAGTTTATTATTGCACATGTTATTTGGGTATCTTTTATATAATTGTTATATTATCCTTAGAGATTATTTTATTAGATCATGTACTGTGATGGTCACTTGCTTGGAGATATGATCTAATTCAGAGATTTTTTAAATTTGTGCTTAACCTATAACTAGTAAATGATAGCTTTGTTATCACGGGTTATTATGCATAACGACATATGAGATGCAATGATTGATCTCAGCTATCGGGAATGAAGATTTCCCGGGTGTATGTCATAAGCGTATATTTGATATGTGTAGTACAAGCCTTTTTTTGGATTCTCTAGGACGAGTCACCTAAGAGATAGAGAATTCGAATTGTTACATGGTCCTTTAGACTTGATGCTATTATCATTTTCGATTTGATAATCTAATATACTTTGATATGATGGTTAAGCTTGTTTTACAAGTGGTATACAACCTGAAATGTTGGGTTATTAGATTTTATTTAGGAAAATGATGAATATCTAGATAGGATCCAGTATATCATTTTTATGAGTTAATTTATTATGCATATCCCTTGAAGATATTAAATTCCCATCAATAGGTGATTTTTTTTTTGAAATTATTTTTCTGAAATTATTTTCTTATAAAATAAAATACTTTAATGTTTCAAAATGATTTTTTATTTATGACCATAGGTAACTTTTTAGGAATGAGTAAATAGGTGATTCGTCCTGCTCAATAAAGTTTCCTAAAATAAATTGATACTGGAGGGGACTGAATGTAAGATAATATTATTCACGAATATTTAATCCCATATTATGGAAGAGCTTTTATGAACAATTGGTCGGATAGGGATTTGATTCTTAAATTAAAATTATTAATTTGATTAATAATTGGTTCTCGATATGGGACCCAATTGGTCTCACTAATGTTATTAGAAGAGGTTTATATGCAATACAATTCTATTTCTATCCTAATTGTTATGAAAATAATATTCTATCTTTAAATGTTATGTATAGAGTTTTAAACAATTAAGAATTGTTTTGAAATTGAAATCTATAAGGCATGTCCAATCCTATATATAGGGTTCATATGTAGCCTTGAAAAGATGAGAAAAAAAGGAAATGGATTTTGAGAACCTATCTCTCAGTATTGCTCCTCTTCGGTGACAGATGGATTTCAGTTGGAGGCTTTTTCTCTTGAGGAAGCTAATTTGTTTTGATCTTGGGATGGATTATCAAAGAAATTCAGAAAGTGTTTCAGGTATTTTTCTAGATTTTATTAATTTCGATTAATCTACATGATATGTAATTTTTCGCTGCATTGTATGTTATGTTTCCAACAATGGTATCAGAGTGGGTTTAGAATTCAATCTAATCAGATTAAATTTTTTTTGAAAATTCGGGTTACTGTTCATCACCAAATATTACGGCGGGTGCTGTTCATCGCCCGAGAACACTGTTCACGGCCGACGGTTACTCTTCGTAATCTGAAATCATTGTTCACAATCGTTGGTTATTATTCATGGATTAAAATTCTTATGATTAGATCAAAGAATTTTTTCTTTTTTAATTGTTGTAATATTAGGGTTCTTGTTAGATTTGATCTAAATAGAGTTTTTTAAATTGTTATAATTGCTTTCTTTATCAATAGAGTTGTGGCCTATACGATGGGCGGCGGCGGCGGCGGTGGTCGGAGTTGAGATTTGATCTCACAATAACATTAAATAAAAAAAAAGTTTTTGGATGATCGTCGGAGATCGGCCGTCGGCTCCGTGGGGCGTGGTGCGGTTCCCTTACCGGCCGGTGTGGGAGCTCGGCACCGGTCGCGCCATGCCGCGGGGCCTTTGGTGGCGGCGGGCTATCCCACAAACATAGCAAAACCCTAACCCTAGATCTTCATTGAAGAAGATGACCTTAGTGGGTTTATTTTCATAAAGAGTTATTTATCCAAACCCATTAAGACTTAAGTTTAATGAAACGGGTTTGACCCGCAAACAGAACCCAAACCCGAAAATCTGATAATTTGAATTTTACTGTAATATTATTATCAGACCCCTGTTTGACTCAGAAACTATTCTGAAGTCCACCAGTGTTGATTTTTTTTGTTGTAAAATTAGTTTCAGCCCCTGTTTAAACCAGAAACTGTTCTGGAACCCATATGAAAGAAGTGGTTATTTTCTAATTAACCCTAAAGAATTGCAGAATTCGTTCTGAAGCCCATATACATGTATACTTTATTTTCTTGTGTTGAAAAGATTATTTATCTCTTGTTGATTGATAATGTATCATTGTATTTTTGAAATACTTATTTAATTTATACATGTGACATGGTTGTATTGTTTTTTAAATTGTTTAATTTTAATTTTTCATGAGATTAAAGTAATACGTGGAAAATTACTAATAGGTCCAGAATTGTTCTGAATTACTTCTATTAAATAAAACAATTTAGAATTTATTAGAAATTGATTGTTGTTATTTTCTCTTATGTTCTCTCAATTATAATAAATAACAAAAGTTGTATAGAAGTGTAGATAGATTAATATTTAAGAAATATAAATCTAAAGGTCTTCCATCATAAAGATATAACTTGGATAATAATTTTTTAGCTTATCTGATGCCACAAAGGATAGGGTTTGTTAAAACTTATTATTTAGTTATATATCACATAAGGATGCCAAGTATTTTATATATAATGGGACCACTAGACTAAAATAGGTAGTGCCACATGTTTTATATAAGATAGCTGGATTGATGGGTAAACACTTCATTGATGTCTTGGGATGCTTGCTAAAATAATAGTCATGTTATTCATCAAAGACGAAAATTAAAGGAAAGTCATTAATTGTTAATGATTGAATAGACTGATTCTATCTTGTTTAATTATATTCGATTTTAAAAATCTGGAGGTTTATAATTAAGCTTGGATTTCCTGTTCACATTTTTTATATGAGAGAAATATATTAATGTGAATTTTATTACTTAAATTATCCCTAGTAATGATTGTGCAATAATAAAATATAAAATTGAGATTCTTATGTTATTATGTTCTGCTTGTGTAGGATGACTAAGTTTAATCCTTTTGCTAAGCTACTTGATGACTATAAACTGACTGACCCGAATTATATGGATTGGAAAAGAAATTTGTTTATTGTCCTTACTGTTAAAAATTTGGCAAAAGTTGTCAAAGAGGACGAACCTGTCCTGATGCAACAGAATATGAGATTCTCGAGCATGAGGAATGGGTTGAACGTAATGAGCTTGTAAAATGCTATATTATGGCTTCCTTGGACCCTACTTTACAAAAGCAGCATGAAGGAAAGAAAACTTGCAAGGAGATCTTGAAAAGCCTTAAGGTTTTGTACGAAGAACGTAATCGTATTGCACGTCAAAACGCTATGAGCGGTTTGATGAACACCAAGATGGCTGAAGGTACACCACTTCAGGCCTACGTTCATAAGATGATAAGGTACATAAATGAATTAGAATCCTTAGGAACCGAGCTAGATAATGAATCAAAAATTAATGCAATTCTTGTTTCACTTCCTCGATCCTTTAATCAGTTCAAAGTGAATTTTAGTATTCAAGAACCAAATCTTACTTTGCCAGAACCGAGCAATATGTTGCAGAGGGTTGAGGATATTATGAAGCAAGATAAGGTCATAGTGATGGTTACAGAAACTGCTAGACCGTCTAACTATAAGAAAAGAAAGTTTTCTTACAAGAAAAAACCAGCAAAAGGAAAGAAAGTTTCCAAGAAAGAAAAGAGGGATCAGACTGTTGATGAATGCTTCTTTTGTAACAAGAAGGGGCATTAGAAAAGGAATTATAAATGTTACCTTGCATCATTAAAGAAGGATAAATCTTCTGAAGGTATATCATCTCATTACTTAGTAGAGACTAATGTAGTGAGTTATATATCTTCTTATATATGGTTTGTGGATTCCGGCTCATCTTCGCATATTTGCAATTCCTTGCAGGGGTACAAGGAAAGACGAAAGCTTAAAGATGGAGAGATCACCTTAACAGCAGGGACTGAAGCCTTAGTTTTAGCATTATCTATAGAAACTTGTTTTGTACATTTGAATAAAAGGCATGTAATGGAACTAAAAGATTATCTTTATGTGCCATCCTTTAGAAGAAAATTTGATTTCTGTTTCTAAACTTAGTAAAAATGGATATTTTATTTTATTTGGTGAAACATCTACTATAAAGTTTGGAAATTCTATTATTGCTCATTGTGAAGTTGATAATTATTTTATTTGGTGAAACATCTACTATAAAGTTTGGAAATTCTATTATTGCTCATTGTGAAGTTGATAATGACATATATTATATATCAATACTATAAAGTTTGGAAATTCTATTATTGCTCATTGTGAAGTTGATAATGACATATATTATATATCAACAGTCCTTAATTCTTATGCAAATGTTATTGAAGTTGTAAATCTCTTAAACGTAAGTTTGATCAAAGTAATCCAACTTATCTTTGGCACACAAGGTTGGGTCATGTTAATATTGATCGGATCAATAGATTGGTAAAGGATGGTCCTTTAGGGCCTGTTTGTTTGCACGGAAGTAACTGTGAAATAGCAGAAGTAGAGGAAGTAAAGACTACTTCTGTGTTTGTTTGCACGGAAGTAACTGTGAAATAGCAGAAGTAGAGGAAGTAAAGACTACTTCTGCTACTTCTAATGTTTGTTTCTCTTAGTAACTGTGAAATAGCAGAAGTAGAGGAAGTAAAGACTACTTCTGCTACTTCTAATGTTTGTTTCTCTTGAAAATTACTTCCGCTACTTCCTTAAACGATGACATGGCATCTACGTGTCATCTCTATTTCCTTAATTTTTTTTCGTCAAAAAGTCTTCGAAATACGGCGGAAGTCATCTAAGAAGTGATCAGTTCTTATCTATATCCTCACAACCATCCTAGAGTCGGTTCTATCCTCTGTCCTCACAACCAACCGACTCTTCCCCTTCTAATATCCCCAGAACCGACTTCGCCATTCGCTGTTCACTCAATTTCGCGGTTCTAGTCCCCGCCATCTTCGCGTAAAAAGGGGTCCTTCTTCATCGTTCTTCGCTTCAACAAAAAGGGTATGTAAAGGATAAAACTTTGATCTTTTATTGCAATTAAATTCATGCAATATTTCTATATTACTTGTAGAAATCTTCCATAAAGCTTGATCTTTTAGTTGAGGTTCCTTTGAGAAATAATAGTCAAAAAGCTTGGGGTTTTTTTGGTTCATGTAGAAATAAAGCAGAATTTTGTTGGGTTTGGTGTCGGATTTAGGTTGTTGTCCTCTTCTTCTTCTTGGTCTTCTTCTAGACGTGGCTGATTTGATATTGGGGGAGATCATTGGATGTGTTGCTAGATTTTATGGTATTGGCTAACTGTTAGATTATGGATTTATTTGTGAGTTTTTGTGTATTTGTTCTCATGAATTTATGTCAAGGTATATATCAGTTTGGAAAGATGAATTTGTGTTGCTGGGTTTTTTTGGTTCATGTAGAAATAAATCAAAATTACCAGGATTTCCAATGTTAATAGGACCATTGTTCTCTCCTTGCATCAACCAAATAAGTCCATTAACCTCCAGAAGAGAAAGGAAAACTTTAAATTATCCAACAACAATTAGATTTATGCACCGAAACATTCAGATTCATAGGCAGAAATCATGTCAGAAACATAACAAAAACTTTGGGTTTGGTTTCCTGGAGCTTGAACTGTTAATGGTTCACCCCTAAAGATGCAAAGAAGAAACAAAAAGGGCAGCAAGATTAATTCCTCAGTACCTTATATTGATGAATTTGTAATGACAGAAGCTAAAGATTGAAATAATACCGGATTGCTTGAGCTATGAAGTTACTAATAACACGACCATCATCAATGTTCATTCGTTGGCCATAAGTGTTGAAAATTCTAGCAATTTGAATCTCTGTATAGAGAGGATAGATTGCAATCAATCGTATATCATGGGTCTCGCCTTCAGAAAATTATTTATAGAATTTATAGGTAGCATGAGAAAATAGATTTTTATGACAAAAGAAAATTATGGTGGGAAAAAGAACTAGTGTCAAAATAGTGATAGCCTAAAATAAAATGATGGTAAAACCGTAAGGCCCCGTTTGGCAAAGGGTTAATGAAGAGGGGTTAAAGAGAAGGATTAATGTACTTAGCTCATTTGATAATCCGAAGGACTAAATTATTAACCCGTTAAATAAATTTTATTTTAGCCCTTATGATCAGTTTTAGTGTTTGGGAATAACAATGATTTTGACTATTTTCTTTACAATTAGAAGGGTTAACTCTTATTCCATCTAAATAGGAGTATTAGTAAACCCCTCATTTTGAGGGGTTAACTCATTTTAACCTCTCTAGAGGGGTTAACTTAACCCTTCTATATTTTTTATGTTTGGCAAATTATGGAGGGTTAACTCACTTTAACCCTTATATAAATTTGTTGTGTTTGGCAGGTTAAGAAGGGGTTAAGTCTCCTTAACCCCTCATTTAACCCTTTGCCAAACGGTACCTAAGGGTATAAAAGTGAAGAGTTTGGTAATAGCAGTCCATTAGTGCATTCCAATCCTTATGCAACTGATGGATTTAGATGTTAATCAGTTTCCATGAAAAACGGATAAGGCAACAAAAAGAACAGTAACACATATTAGGCATAGAAGCATTAATCTGTCAGATTTTTCTTCCTTATCCCTTTTTACCTTCTAATAGTGTAAATCTCTCTTAATCATCATACATCACATAAAAACCTTTACAAGCACGTCAATCTTTCTCTGCAAGCCCCACCATGTTTAGTGTTCCAATGACATTTGTCTTTATGTTCTGTTAAACATCGCGTTTTAGAGCATGACTTTTCATAATTAATTACCACCATTCACCGACAAATGCATGTTGATTGGAAAGAGAATTTATAGGTAGCATGAGAAAATAGATTTTAGATGCAACAATGCTAGTAGGATGTGAGAATCATATTATTTTTTGAAACTAGAGAAATAAATTGGCGAATTTTTATAATGACCATGTGCACTGATTTTTTTTTTTAGTTTATAACATTGTTTTACTTGTTTTATGTAGAATATGGAACCTTCAAAAGCTAGAGATGCTACACTAAGTTGCTTTGCTGCATATGTGGTGTGTATATTGTGTGCTTACTTTATGTTGTTTGAGAATAAAAGAGAAGTACTTCCTAGGGAACCAACAGAGTGTAGAGATTCATTGAGTTATGCTTATATCAACCGATTATTTTATGGCGGCAGAACATTTGCATATGACTACTTAAGGATGGATAGAGGTCCATTTTTCAACCTTGTTCGCATGTTACAAAAGTCTAGACTTCTTAAAGGTACCATGCATGTTTCCATCGAGGAGCAAGTTGCTATGTTTTTACACATAGTAGGGCATAATGCAAAAAATAGGGTTGTTGGTATAAACTTTGTACGTTCAGGTGAAACTATTAGTAGGTACTTCAATGCAGTCCTCGTGGCAATATTAAAACTGAGACCATTACTAATGAAGCAAGCAAGTGGTGAGGTATGCGATGAGATTCGTTGTAGATCAACTTGGTACCCTTGGTTTGAGGTAAAGTGTATTATTTTTCAATCATTGATATCTATACTTCGTAAGGTAATATGTAATATAAAATGGCGAATTTATATGTTATGTATGTTTAAATGGTCATAACTGTATTGGTATGATTGATGGAACACACATTGCCGCGTCCGTCCCTGATAATATAGTTGCTCGATTTCATGGTCGCAAAGATGGTCCCACACAAAATGTGCTTGCAGTTGTTACACCTAATAAATTATTTTGTTATGTCATGGCTGGATGGGAAGGGTCTGCTAATGACTTTACAGTTTTGAGGGATGCATTGTCTATGCCTCCTCCAAAGGGATTGCGTTTGATAAAAGGTAATAAAATATAAAGTGAATTATAAAGTATTTTATTAGTTTAAAAAATATTTATTAATAATGTGGTTTTCATATTAATATTGTAGATAAATATTATCTCTGCGATGCTGGATATACGACAATGCCCGGTTTTATTGCACCTTATCGTGGCGTGCACTACCATCTTAAAGAGCAAGATGGTAGGGAACCATTGAACCATCGCGAGTTTTTTAATCTTCGTCACTCATCACTTCGATCAAAGATTGAGAGCGCATTTGGAATTCTAAAAAATCGTTTCAAAATTCTAACATGTAGGCCTGATTTTCCATTTCAAACACATGTCAAGATTGTTATTGCATGTTGCATTCTACATAATTATATAATGATAGTTGATCCAGATGATCGTTACATAACAGAAGATGTAGTTTTTGATGAAAGCGAGAGTGAATTTGTTAGTGAAGAATCTCAGGTTAGCATGCTCAATTTAAGCAAAAAGGAACAGAAAGAAGCACAAGCTACTTGGTTAAAGAAAAGAGATGAAATAGCAAAGTCTATGTGGATAGAATATTGTGCTCGATATAAGGAAGGTAATGAGGTGGAAATTGGATTAGGTGATTAGTATTTGTGTTTTGTATTATTTTAATTGATACCACTAATATATGCTAGATCATTAAGTGAACAAGTTTGTTTTTTTCCCTATTATCAAGCTTATTGGAAAGAAAATTTTGTGTATCTTTGACATTTCTTTAGCGACATGTTCTTTTTTATGATGAGCTTCAATATATGTATGTCTAATTTTATAGTTTTGCTTTCCAATTGTCATAATGTAAACTTTATTCTTGTTGTCTCAATGAATATTTACAATATCACAGGACGATGGACAATATAGAAAAGTGTGCATATGGGGGTAACAGTACTGGATACTTTCAAGTTACTTCAACACTAGATCAACAATCGCCACATTACTCATTCTCATGGAGTACACGCTCTTGGAAACCCCTATGTTTTTGGTCATCTTGGAGATTCGTCTAATCAACAATTCATGAATGCCAATATTGGTGGAACTCCTATTGGGTTCCCACCCATAAATTTGAGCCACTAATCAACAATTCATGAATGCCAATATTGGTGGAACTCCTATTGGGTTCCCACCCATAAATTTGAGCCAACAAATCATACGATCACAAAGCTCCCAGAATAATGCTTCACAAAATTCAATTTCAAGTCTTGAAGTTAATTATCCTTCAAAAGATGGAAAACATATGAATGCAGGGAAGAAACGAAAGTCAACCGGGAACAAAGAAACACTGACAGGAGGGAAAAAAGGAACTGGTAACAAAAAATGGAAACCTCCACATATTGAGGCATTAATTTTTTGCTTAGTGGAACTTGCTAATAATGGTTATAAAGTGTACAAGACATTTAAAGCCCCTGCTTTTAAAAAGGCTGTTGATCATGTGAATTCTATCTTTGGAGAAAATTATACTACATACAACGTCGAGAACCACTTACGAACCCTCAAAGATAAGTGGAAACTTATTTGTGAAGCAAAAAAACTTAGTGGAGCCGGATGGGATGAAGAGAGTAAGATGATTATACTTGATACCACGACATATGCTGAGCTTATCGAGGTGTATTAATATCTTAATTTTTTCCAAGTTAATTCAAACTTCTCTTTATGCTTATATCACATTAAAAATCTTTATTTTTCTTATAAACAGAGACATCCAAAGTACAAGCCTTATTTGAATTGTCCAATTCCAAGATATGAAGAGCTTCGCATTATTTGTGGGGAGGATCATGCTACTGGAGAATTCAGAGAGACAAGTTATGATCCTGACATCGATAAAGAGATTCCAACTATCAATATCGACGAAGATGATCTTGTAGATAGTCCTGGTATGGATGGAGTTCGTGTATCACAATTCAACGGAATGGAGCCTTCGAGCATTTTTATCAAGCCAGGAACTGTAAGTGGTAAATCGTCTCGTCCAGTAAAGAAGAAGAAAAGGGAGGACTCCTAAATAATTATTGGTGAGAAACTTGTGGAGGAAATGAGAAAGGTAGCCGCTGTTATTGTTGGTTTGAAGGAGCGAACTTGGGTTGAGGTTCTTGCTGATAAGGTTTTTGGTTTTCAAGATATTTCCATAGATGATCTTGAACTAGTTTTCAATGAATACTACAAGAATGAAGTTGAAGCGAAGGCTTTTATGGTATTGTCCGAACCAATACAGAGAAAGGGGATTCTTAACATGTTGGAGAGGATAGGTAGGCGACCAACTTTGGACAACACTCAAAGTGGAACTACTAGTTTCACAAACATGGATAGCACCCCTTAATAAATGGTTCTCAATTTAAACTATTTTCAAGTATGGGTAGTCTTCTTAGATATTGCACTTTATTATTTTTTAAACTTAATGATACTAGTTTATTGTTAATTATGTGTGTTGGACTTTGATATAAATTGAGCTTACAACAATACTATGATTCTTATTTATTTCAGCTAAATTATGTGTGTTGGACTTTGATATAAATTGAGCTTACAACAATACTATGATTCTTATTTATTTCAGCTAATATTTAATAGCACTTTCTTATTCTAATTGAGCTTACAACAATACTATGATTCTTATTTATTTCAGCTAATATTTAATAGCACTTTCTTATTCTCAGCTCAATAATTTTTTGTGGATGTTGTTTTTTTCCTTTTTTTTTCTTTTTTTCTTCTCTTTTTTCTTTTTTGGTGCCCAATTGTTGGTTTATCGAAGTCATTTCTGTAACATGGATTCAAAGTGAAATAAATGTTCTAGACAAATTGGATAAGTATTGGATGTTCATAAAATGATAACACAAATGTAGCTGTCTGGTGTATAACTTTGATCTATTTGAGGAAAACATGAAAGCAGAGTGTCAGAAATCATCCATTTAGTATTTTTCAAATTTTATTGGTTGCGATAGATGTTCATGCTTGACCGTATTAGAGTTTGATAAATGGTTTTCATTTGAGAAGATCAGTGGAGATTTGTAGTCTTTCGTTTAAATACAAGTATTGTAGATTCTTATATTCACAATAAATCAGAAACGACAATTATCTGTTGCTTGTTATAAGATTTTGCATGGAGTGCCAAGGGACACAAATTTCAGTTAGATTGTATCTTTTAGTATTACTTAAGTGCTATCTGACAGAATTAGGGGAGAAGCTGTACTCTAGGAAAGACTTCAATTACAATTGGAGATGATTTGTAGAATATCAATGTTGAATTTTTCCTATTTAGTTTTATTTCTAGAACTGTAAATTTAAACTCCTATATTTTTCTATTTTGTAGAAGTATGGTTCTACCATTTCATTGACCGAAAAAGTTGTATACATAAGGCTTGAATAAAACAAACTCCTACGTAGTGCATCAAGGTTATAGAATGTTTAGAGGCTTGAATAAAACAAACTCCTACGTAGTGCATCAAGGTTATAGAATGTTTAGCTGAACTTGTGAGCATTTGGTTACACCTTCAATAAGCTCAAATGATAGAATGTTTAGCTGAACTTGTGAGCATTTGGTTACACCTTCAATAAGCTCAAATGATTTGTTTTTATTAGTCTGTTCTTATGTCCAATTGTCATGCATTTTGAATCTTTTGCTATGAGGTTGCCAAGCTTTACTTAGGTTATCAAGTCACTACTTATATTGCCTTTTCAAATCAATTTGTAATAAACATACTTTTGCCTTTGCTACAGGAAGTGCAAGATGGATCTAGTAGATAAAATTTTAAGCTCATCGGAGGTACATCTAAGTTAATTCCCTTAGTTTTGAGTCTCTATTAGCAGAGAATCTAGAGAGAAGTTGACACTATACTATTTCTGACTGATGTCTATAATATATCAATAGAGCATCATCATTAGGTTATAGTGTGAAGCTCAAGATTGCCCCTAGATTTAATTTTCTGGAAAGCAAGGAGCCAATATTGACTTTCTTGTAACTTTTGATGTATACTATTATCAACCATGTATTAATCCAAACAATATCATGTACGTGTGATAGATAATTTTGAGATTACTGAAATATAAATCATTAAAGTGAATAATCTGTGAAGATGCATTTTTGTGCATGTTTGGAGTACTTTCCAACTCTCTGTCACTGGTATTCATGTCCATTATTATTGTGAATATGAATGAGTATATAGACAATAGATTTTGAAGTGTATATGTATACACGTGCCATCAACAAAAGGGAAAATCATTGTGAATGTGTTATTAGTTAACTAGCGTCAATACATCAGCAAAGGCCATTTTGAACCGTCGTGACGCATTAATAATAGTGGATAACACCATCGCAACTACTAATGATAGTAAATAGTAGCATCGTAAATTTGAATGACAGTTACGTAATCCCAGCAAGAATAGATGCTACTTCAGGTTTTAAAGTAATTGACGCCAGGAGTTTGTTTGGGCCTTGGTTCCTCAAACCGATATACCACTTTCATGCATCCCCCCTTGCCTCTGCCTATGCGAGTCCAAAGTAACCCGATGTTGTAACAACGGAATATGTCAAAGACGCAGGTTCAGGTATGTCTTTCTCCCCGAGTGAAATGCGGCTCGAGCCGCGAGGTCCCACTGTCTTTTTTGATCAAATATTATCAAACGGCGAAGCCTGGCTTTCAACTATCTTTTAACTTCCACACAAAAAGAGAACAAATGACAAACTGAAGCATTTCCTTTGAAAGCATACTGAAACAGATCTATCCAAGTCATCATTTTTTCAAGAATAAGTGAAATAATATTACGTAATCCCCTGAAATGCAAACTCTTATCTATTTCTATTTTTAATTTTATTTTAGGAGTATATTTGCAATGTCATGCAGATTTTTAAATTTAAATTGATGGCAACAACAACTCTATTTCTATTTCAATGACAATCCAAACAAGAATAAAATGGAAGCAACATGTATTAATTACTTCCTAGTAATATTTTCAAATATTATCCAAACAAAAAAAGTAAATGAAAAGGAAGAAGTTCTACTTCCATTACTTCTAAAAATATAAGAAACAAACAAAAAAAATGCTATTTCCGTTACTTCCTACTTTATAGTTTTGGAAGTTACTTCCGTAACCTACTTCCTACTTCCAATACTTCCATTATCCAAACGGGCCCTTAGATTTTCTAAAAATAGAAAATTTTCCAACTTGTGATCATTGCTTAAAAGGTAAGATGACTAAATTACCTTTTTTAGGAAAACGTGCCAGAGCTGAAGGTACTCTTGACATTATACATTTTGATGTATGTGGTCCTTTAAATGTTAAAGCAAGAGGCGGATATTCATATTTTGTAACATTCACGGATGATGCGTCTCGATATGGCTATATTTATTTAATGCATCATAAATTAGAATATTTTGAAAAGTTCAAAAAATATAAAGCCGAAGTTGAAAAGAAACTTGATAGAAGTATCAAGGCCATCCGATCCGATCGAGGTGGTGAGTACCTATCTGAAGAGTTTAAGAAATTTATGAAAGAAAATGAAATTGTTATTAATTTGACACCTTCCGGAACACCACAACATAACGATGTGTCTGAAAGACGGAACCGAATCCTATTAGATATGGTTAGATCTATGCTTAGTCATTCTCAGGTTCCTACTTTCTTATGGGGTTATGCATTGGAGATTGTAAACTATTTGTTAAATAGAATTCCTACCAAATCTGTTTCGTCCACCTCATATGAGATATGGACTGGAAAGAAACCAAGTGTTAGACACTTAAATGTTTGGGATTATCCTGTTCCTGTAAGAAAACAAATAATGGAAAAATTAGAGTCTAGAACAAATAGAGGTCTATTTGTAGGTTATCCTAAAGAAAGTACTAGGTATTATATTTATAACCCCAGTGATCAGATAATGACTGTTAGTAGAAATGTGTTCTTTCTAGAAGATCAAATTGTTAGTTAATGATCTATAACTCTAGAAGAAGAATCATCTTCTTCGATAGGAGAGTTATCTGATCCAGTGGGAGAGACTCCAAACATCGTTGGAGATTCTATTGATT